TGCAGTTCCACTTATTAAAACGTACATAATAATAATAATAGTAATAATAATAATAATATCACAACAAGAACGCAGCATGTCGCAAAGGTTTACTGTACACATCACGAAAGCGTCGCGTCTCGATCCATGTCGTTCTTCGTCTAATGGAATTAAAACAAGAAAAAATAAATAATCCACACGATATTTGCTCACTTTTCCGTTTCATCGAACGCGATTTATTCACTAAAAGTAACGAGGACGTGAACGACGATAATTTCACTTGTCACGAAACGCTCAGCCTCAACATTGTTTCACGAAACAATCGACTCAAATTTTCATCAAAACATTGACTCGATTAACGTTGCAGGACGAGATTTTGCACGGCTAGAAACGTCAACGAGCCGGAAAAGCAAGCTCGTCAACAGGATTGGACACAGTGAAGAGAGATAATAGGGACTAAGAGATAAGTGACGAAAGCTCGATGGACGTACGAAAGCGACAAAAAATAATTCAAGACATCGCATTACACAGCAGCATAACGTTTATTATAGCACACCAACGATATCGATATAACGCACTATAATCGCATATATAGGTTATATTTCTAAGTGTACCGTCCTACGCCTAAGTGTATATCTAGCTAAGAATATATTCTCTTTTCTTACTCGTGGATGCTCGTCGAGCGATTACAATAACTAGACGAAAGCGTTTAACATAAAATAAAATATGAAACTCAATCACAAAATAAACTATGTGTATACGGAGGGATAGTATTCTGTGTGACAAATTAAACTGCTTAACCTACGAGTTTCGACAATACATGGAGCGCCTCTAACGGCCATGGATAATTTCCATTCTCGATGGGTAACTAGAAAAATATCGAGTCTCTCTACCTTAAAATATCTAATGGTAAAACTTTCACTATTAATAACTTTTTGCATTCACAGATGGCAGTAAATATACAATTCATTATATTCCTTTATTATTTGTCGACCATAGGAAAATATTCATGTGTATGGACGTTAAAAGAAATAAAATTTGAAGTTTGAAATTTGGCAGTACGTCTTAAATGCCTATGCTACGAGAAAGTGTTTAGTGCCAATGGTAAAAAGAAAGAACATCGAGAGGGAATCTATCCACGACTTTTTAACGAACGTGACGTTCCGTGATTACCCATTGCAGCCATTACAGCGCCCATTTTTCGAAGAAATACTTTCACTTAGGTATAACTTTACGATCTACAACGACGATATATTTCTGTGTCATATAAAAGAATTGAAATTCCACGGACGTTTTCAGGTTTAGAACCTTTTTCCAATACCTCGTACGATATCTTTTATCGCTATTGCACATTTCTCACATAGATTCAATCCGATACTTCGTCACTATTTTCATCAAAGTATATGTTACAACGTGTAATTAAATGGAAAAAAAGAAAATCAAATACTCGCTATAGAGTATATATACGATTTATAGAATATGTAGAACTACCTTTTAACGATTAGAAATCGTATCTTTATAATACATCGGTATCTGTTCGAAAAGGGCAGTGTATTTACACAACAGTGTCACCGATGTATTTTGCCAATAGATAAATGTGTGGGAAATATAACGTATAGTCTATTCAAAAAACAATCAATAAAACATTCGATATAATAATCTTCATAAATTTTTTATACAAATATATCATATACATAATACGCATAACGATTCGTATATACAGGGTGGTGGTAAAAACCGGAGGATTACAGATTATCTGGAAGCATGTGCTATTTTTCACAGATGGAAAAATTTTACAAAACAATTTGAAAAAAAAATTTATCCTATGAAATCATTTGCAAAAATAATATTTTTATTTGTTCTTTGAACGATAATAAAAAAAAGCGATTTTAAATTTTTGTTAAATTTATTTAAAGGTAAAGGTGAGCTATGTTGGTAGTAATATCAAGTCTCCTCAAAATTATAGTTGATAATTTCTGAGGTAATATCATGAAAATTGATGGTCATAAAATATTGTTAATTTTATAATTTTAATATGTAATTTTAAGCAAAATAAGATAACACTACATTTTATGTTATAAATTTTGTTTTACACAACAACAAAAAATTTTTATTCGATCATATAGTAATTGATCCCTTTTTATTCGTTCTTTTTACACGAGTAAAATCTCCGCATCTACAAATAAATTCTGTCAAAGCAAGATGCGACTATCTACGACGATAGCATAACTGAGTTGCTAATTCTAATAAAAATAAGATGCCATTTAAAATATATTTTATGAAACTAACGAAAAAAACAACAATAACCAAACAATAGTAACTACAACAGTACTTAAAACAAAATATAAAATTGAAGTGAATAATAATACATTTTTTAAGGTTTTTCGTAAAAAAATATAACTAAATTATTTTTGCGAAAATTGCACTTTTGCAAAGAGCCCGCGATTTTTGCCGCTTTCGAGTAATCGAATAATCGCATCGAATATAACAAATAAAATTAAATGATCCAAAACCCAAAATCCCAATTTATTATTCTACTCCTAATTTTAGAAATTTGCATCCCTTCCGATACACGTCACACGCTCCCAAATTCCGAAATCTTCCATCGCGACACCCTCTGTATATCCATATATACATCACAGTTAACGTAAGATAATCTAAGGAACTATTCGAACACTAATCGTATGTTAACACATTGCAAGTGTCTAGCACTTTCTACGTTATCGATCTGGATTTTGTCCACTGATGGCGAACGTTTATCGATCGGAAAAGATGACAACCTCCGATATCGGCTGATTCGTTTCCAGGTAGTACGCAGCGCGAAACCGTCAAGAAAAGGTTCATTTAATGAGAATACGAGTCATATTTAACGTGGTCATTTCCTTCCGCGAACACAATTCCGTTTTCATGGAACATTATTTGTCTCGAGTTCATTAAAATATGGAAATCCCGCCTTCACAGTGCTAATTTCTTCGCTCGTTTTATGTATAATCTCTCTAGCAGAGAGGTTATTGGAAAAGAAATGACTGCTGCATACACTTTCAGCACCCGGTAAAATATTTGGATAGATGTTCTAGCAGTCTCGTTATAAATTAGTGTTTTTCTTCCTTCTTACGTTTTTGTCTTTTTCCCTTGTTGAGCATCGAGTTCTTAATATTAAAGCACGTTCGTTTGTGTTTTTTCAGAGGTCGAGAGCGACGGAATGTACGTGCTTCGCGGTGTTCTGTGAAAACTGCGCCATCTATAACTCTCTATTTATCTCTTTCCTCGAGCTTAGTCGCGATCCGTTTACCTAGTCGCGCGATGCGGTCCGAAAGGTTCGTTCTTAGGTTCGATTTGTGTTGCATTTATTAATTAGAAGAGCATGGTATGAATAGTATACTAATATGTCACGTATGTATTTGTTAATATTTATAATCTTGATAATATTTTCATTATAGACGTTCAGGCTTTCACGTGTAGTAATTACGTTACGAAACTTCAACCTAACCTATAAAGTGTCCGAGATGCGAGTCGTGGAAGAAAGTTGTTGGAATGTAATGGAAGAAATATTTCACCATCCTTTATTTAGTACCTGACATTTAACTTACATTTATCAATGGATATAAAATTATTTTAAGTCTTACGGGTAAAATTCTATGATGCAATACTGGAAAGTCTCTTTTTAGGAATAACGATACCTACTACTATGTAATACTTAAATAACTATATTCCCTATAACATACTGTGTTTATATCTTTCAGAGGATTACAAGGATAAAGCTGCTCTACAGAATTCTCTTGAACATGTTTATGCACTTCAATATCATATTACAAAATACTAAAGAATACTAAGGAAATAGAAGAATAAAAATGTAATAACCTAAGGAAGACAGGATTCAATATATCTTCTACCTTACACACTAAACACTATAAACAACTGATATTGTTCAACGTTTCAAGTAACATATATCACTTCCATTATTTTTTTCTTTTATAAAATAACAACATAAAATTCTATCAAATCTATCAAATATGAAATTACTTTCAAATAATCATTTTATAGACTCAATTTCTGCGACACTCTCCCGGGACACTTTGTGCGTAGTGCAAAACAAATGACGTCCAAATTAAAAACTGAAAGAGGAAACACCAGTGTATTTGCGGCTATGGACACGACAACAGGCGCTATTTTCATAGGAAGTTTCACGGTGATCCAACTGAATTCAAATGATCGATTTGCGACCCGTTTCCCTCGGATGTTTCGAAATATTTGCGTTCGATATCTTTCCGCGTGTACAGATCTCCTTTCATGGTGTACCTTTACACGTTGATACACGGGGTGGCGTTACCGTGTTTCCCGGCGCATCGCAAACAACCACGAAATGGAAATATTAGTTTAACGTTCGATAAATCGACACAGAGCGATGGAAATATGACAACCATATTCTCGCGACAATGGAAAAATGCAAAAAGGGGAAACAAAAAGGAAGAAAAAGGTGGAAACGATGATACAATAGGAGACTCGGAAAATCGGTACAATGCCAAAGATCGAACCTCCCGGACCGTCATAGTATGCGGAAAAAAAAAGTTCTCGATACTCGAAAAGTCCCGTTGTTGTTCTACCTACATCACGCCAAATCGCAAAAACAAAAACACGATGTAAATACAATCGATCCATCGACGTGAAACAACAATCGCGAACGAAGTTGCCCCGATTCGTAGGACGCTCGACGAATCGGAAGTTACAAATTAGTGCGAACAAAAATCACCATTTGAGGTTAGTTTTCGTAAAACGAGAAACGTATCTGATGATTTTTGCGTGTGAGAGTGTATATATATATATCTGAATATATATGTTTACAGGATGGTCAGTGATATTTCACTGGTTTTCCCCGGTGATGACGATAGCCAGGACGGCGATCGTCGTCAAGCAGACGGTCAAAAATAAGAAGAAACAAAGACGTAACACAACGATTATGCATGTACACGTGGGCAGAAAGAAGCGTCATGCGGTGCAGCCAAGCGTGCGTTGCTGTTTACCTGCGAACGGCACATCCCCGAAGTATTCCTCGACGTTGTCCGTCGACATGCTCTTGTCGGACAGAGACACGCTCGATAACGATCCGCTGCTAGCGTCCAGGGAACCGCCGGCCGGAAACTGCAATAAATCCTCGTCGGTTTCCGTTTCCATGTCGCGGGATCGCCGTTTGTATACCTGCCAACAAGTAACACCCAGGTATATGCATTTTCGTTTCTTTCCTTTTCTTCTCTCTTCGACGGTGATTCTTGATGACGTGCATTAGGTACCGTTAAGATTGCATTTTGCTTTATTTAAAAACATTTCCTTTTAGTAGTAATGTTTTTGGATCTTTCTGTTTATTGGATTTTTTTATGTGTTGCAGGTGCCATCGTACAGTATTGATTGCTTAAATCGTTATGCTTCGAAATTGACACTGTGCTAGATTTATAGATACGAGATATGATTTACTAAAAATATATTTATCACGTTATTCATTGCCGAAGGCACAAAAATGTAAAACGGTCTGGGAATTAGCGGTACACTGAAATAGATCAACCGTGGACCATTAGTTTAAAATGTAAAGGACTTTGACAGTTTGAGTCGTGGTTGAAGTTGGATTAACTGTAAATCGATAACTGTAAACTACATTAGTCTCATAAAATGTAATCCGTCATAAACTAAGGCTCCACAATTAAGCGAAGCTTTACTTTGCTCCAGATCAATGAGACAGTCTTTTTAGTAAATTTATACATTTTTTGAACAAGAATAATGGGGTTCAATGTAAGTTATTCTACGTATCCATAAAAACAAATAAATAACATATAGAAATATAGAAATTAAGTCTTTAACCAATATATTTCTATACCCGTGTTTTTTTGTATTAAATAATAGAGAAGAAATAATTTCAAATTATTCTAAATTACATGATTGATTTTGTTTTGTCTATTTGTATCGAAACATTATATTGGTTAAACTATTCTTTATAATTAATGTTTATTTAAATACACAGTGAAAGTTTAATTATTCAGAATAAAAATATATTTGTCAAGTTAGTTTTTCCCGATTTTTTTTCCCAATTTCCAAGCCAGCCGCTTTTTCAACGGTAATACGCGTTTGAATTATTAGAAAAAACGGATCAGAAATGACATTTCGTGCGGTAACGTTTACGAGCGATATCGGGATTCATCTCTGAGCGCTGCACACGCGTCGAAAACATACTCGGACAGAGCAAATAAAAACGATTCGAATCCGATAAAAATCTATCGGAATGGATCACTTGATACGATTATACACAATAAACTTGATAAAATATGAATCGGATAAATAAATCTTGCCAGGGATATATTTGTATCCCAAGCTTCGATCCGCAATTTGAAGCGCGCCACGTGTAACAGTTATTAAAATTTTTATTCACCGAATCAAAAATATATCGTTGTCATTTGCTACGAATCAATGCTCTGAATAAATATTGAATGTGTTAATAGCTACCGAATTCGTGTAAACATGTGGAGGCAATCAACGATTCACGAAACAAGACTGAAGTTGTCGCAAAGTCATTTTTTCCCTTTCTATAAAACACCAAAATAAAAATAGAAAGAAAAAAATTAAGTATATGAAAAATAAAAATAGAAGTAAAAACAGGGAAATAAAATAATTAAAATTACACCCATGACAAATAATGAAATATAATTATAAAATAAAATAACATTAAAATATTCATATACGTACTATTGAATATTTTATTATTTGTTTCTTTGCTGCTATCCCTTAGTTCCTTTTTATACTTGTGAACTGTATTTATTTTCTCCAATAGAATACTTTGTTTTTTTTAGGAATTCTAAAAAGTTCCTAGTCCTATATTGTCCTATATAAAAGTTCCTATATTGTCATTCTTTACACATAACCTCATTACCAACGATCAAACTCGTACATTACAATATTATGCATAAATCAGTAAAGGTATATCTCATTAATCGATTTATACAGTTCATTTTACTCTCTGACACAAGGAACGATCAGGTAACACGAACTATTCGACTTTCGTACTCCACCCAACTATCGTATGCTAGACACTTGACAAGCATTCCCACGATCAGAATCTCAAAGACCACGGCAAGTACGTACGTAAGTACAAACCCTCGAGTGGAGTCGTTTCACCGCGAAGAACATGCACGTATCGCGTACAGTTCATCCGTAAAGAAACTCAAAGGTGCTAAACGCGAGTGAGATAAGATTTCGTCGCGTCATGGATCGTCGTTTTAACGCAATTAAAATTTGACGCCAACGGACTCGACAGACAGACAGACGGGCGGCATCTCGCCGGTATACACGCACGGCACTGGCGGAAAGCGTCGCTACAAATTCGTGGATTTCTCTACGCCGGGGCGCAAGGAGAGAACGAGCGTTCGCGAGGAGAAGTCAGACAGGCATAGAAGCCGAGGGCTTCATTATTCAAAGGGTGTCGGCGTCTTGCATTCTGCCGCTCTGCTGGATCCGCGGAAGTTGACGGGTGTGAAGCAACCATCCGTGAGTTCCTCCATCTCCCTCCTCTCTTCCTATGCGCTGCTCCAAACGCGCCGTCACGCTTCCTCTTTTCTACGATCTTACTCGAATAGCCACGATATCGCCCGATCTCGTCCGATCGCATTCGCCAATGATTCGTATCGAACGATTGCTGGCTGATGTGTCGAACGACTTCGACACCGATACAAGCGTTAACCGTTTACGTTTCTTTCCTTATTTTTTTTTATGATTCTAGTACGGATTTGAAATGACGATTTGATAGATGGTTTTAAAGAGAAAATCTAAGAAAATTGAGAGATTGAGGATTGATTAAGATTGAAGAGAAAGCAGAGTGAGAATTTAAAAGAGGTAAAAGATAAAATGACTTTTAACCTAACCCTTTACACTTGTACCGCCTTGATTGACATAGGTTTTGTGTTCACTTTTATTTTCACATAATTATCTTTACTTTGCGCGAAGTGTACTGGGCCGCTTAACTGTTTGTGTTTCAGGTTGGTACTGAAATAATACTACCTACAAGGATTTTACTTCAGTAAGTGATAAAGTAATCATTTAAAATGTCTGTAAGAAGAGGAAAATTTATAAAAGCGTATACCTTGATTGAAGAAAATGTTCTATTATTATTACACTGTTATTTCAATTTAGATGAAGTAATGAAGCTATTTTATCTAATTCGACACAACGTATGAGCTAAATATAAGTTCCAAAATTTCTAGTAATTATATTCATCCCCCAGAGATTGATAATTAAAACACGGAAGCGAGCATACCTTACAGCCAGTGGATAGTTTCCTATACCATCAAGGCAGGACCTTTGCCGTTCGAGGAGACGACTAAATTGTGCCGAAACATCGGCTGTGTTTCGTTCGGGTTGATGAGATTTACGAGCGTCAATCGAAATCGAGGTTGACTCGTTATCGCCAGTCGCGACCCCGTGACTTGCCAATTACCGTCCCGCTAGATTGCCAGATCTATATACACACAGACATCCGGTTCAACGAAATTGCACGTTGCAACTTCGTTTCCCCGCTTTGCACTGGACCTAACATAACCAACAAATCTTTCTTACGAATCCAATAATATAATCGAATAGAAAAGATAACTACTTGACACATCATACATTTCTCGTTATTGATATGTAAATATAAACCTATTTTACATACTTATACTGAGAATAAAGAATTAATTTGGTCAATTTTAATAACTTAACTGCTAATTTATTAACTGTTAATTTATTAAAGTTTTAATAAGTCCACATATTTCAGATAAGCCAGCGCCAGTTATACATGTATTTAACTTGCTATTCACTTATGGGAATGTTACGCGAATCGATATACGGAATGACCTAGCGTTTATGCAGATACAGAGAGAAGTCAAAATCTTGCAAAGAGGGTACGCGACATCATATCCGGCATCCGTGAAGATCCGCAGGCACTAACTACTCGATCCGCTCGAAGCGAAGGCAACCGTATACTTCGGCTCCCAAAGCGTCTTGCCTTCATCCGTCTCCTCTCGTTGAAGGATATATTCACTGTACGATATTTCGTGAAGCGTGTATAACCGCTGAAAGACACGGATTGCGAACGCGTATAGCAGCCAGCGGAAAGGAAGTAGCGAGAAAGGACGAGCAAAAGGGTGGGGATCAGAAGGCATGGGTGGGGATGTCGAGAAGGACACGAGGAGCTGGTAGATGGCAGAGCCAGAGAGATCGCGGGCTAGAACGAGGATACGAGCTACGACTCGCGAGATGGCGCACCTGTAGAGAGTACGAGATAGACGAATAAGGGAGAAATAGAAGGCAGAGCGGCACGGTGTATATTGTGCATATCCATTCGTGGCGGATGGGAAGCGAACGTAGTCAGTCTCACAGCAGAACGATCACAGGATGACGCGGCAAACGGCGGGAAACGAGCGATACAGGCAGCACAGAGCGACAGAGAGCTCGGCCTCCTTGCAAATCGCATCACAGATCAAACACGGCTTGTATATTAAACGTAACCTGCTAAGGCGTCCTGCCGACTGCTTATCTACTGTCCAAGTTTGAGGACCGACATTCGGCTGCAATGATGGCTTCCGAATGACACTTTCGACAAGATTCTTCCAGCAACTGACGCGATACAGCCGTGGTAACATCGCGACTCGCCCACCTCGATGACTGATAAATGATTCTGCACATCGTACCGCTTCCAAGATGAACATTCCGGACCAGTACTTTCGCGGCCACATGCGTTAGCTACCGGCGTAGCGTTTGACGTCTCGACATGTGTTACGCGGTAGTGGGGGCACACACGCGCGGGTCCTGTTCCTGAGACGCAGCCGAGGATGCAAAATTGAACGCCCGCAAACGTACGCTTCGTTGAAAAGCGTGTGATGAATCGCGAAGGCGCCTGTATCGCGTCAACCGCTTAAGATGTACCGGCAGACTGTGATCGCGTACCGTGCCATCCTTTACATGCGATTCCAGAGCTAAATGTATCGCTGTTGACGCAGAAGCTGGGGTAATGGGTTCGATTTTTGTACTACTACGAATCGACGGTTCTGGAAACGCCTCTGGGATTCAGTTCGGCTGGAATGGTTTGATGAGTGTAACAGTGTGGATAGGTGGCTTTTGTGTTTTTTTTTTTATAAGTTTATTAACTTAGCTTTAGTAAAATCATCACTCCATGTTATTCTCGCAGATTAAGGAATGCCATGTTAGTGATATAGTCAGTATTTTGTACATAACAATTGCTATAATTTGTAAATGTCTGATACCACTGCTGCTGATTAACAATGCGTCATATACATATATGTCTGCGAATTTTGTGCAATGGAAATAATGTAAAAAAACACCACCTCGCATATGATGATTGATTGAATCCCCAACTACTTTAACCATTCAGCTGGATTATAGTATAAGTTCATATATGTATATACAAACTATAAGACTATACATAATAATGAAGTCTTGAGTAAAAAGTGAAGTATATCATATTTAACTATCTAAATCAATTCTATCGTATTTAAAATAATTATTTAAAAGAATAAAAATAATCGTTTCCTTCACAGATAAGGTTATGAAGAAATTCGTCAGTCATCCGAATACTAATAACAAATGAATCAAGGCCTCAAGATTTGGACACTGGATATTAAATCAACGACAACAAGCTATCCAGAATTACCAACAAAATATACCACCCACACAACACAAAGAAACTCACCTGGCTCAAGGGACGAATCCTCTCGTGAATCGACTTCTCAGCCTGCATGGCAGAAGGTGGCGGGTGATCAGGCGTCGGCGGCTGAGCATAGTGCGTGGGGCTGGTGGGCAGCATCATTTGTACTCGTTTCAGGCGTTTGTCGGTTGCCTCACGGCCTTCCGGCGTCGAGTGCTCGTCGATGGCGTCGCGCTTGTCGTCCAGAAGACTCTCCTGGGACGACTTGAGCGTGAGGAACGCGTTCGACACGAACATCTGTTCCTGGACGAACAAGTCAGTCTCGCTGCACGGCGACTTGTCTACACAGGGACTGCTCTCCGACTCGTAATTTTCGAACGCGTGTCTACGCAATTTTCGCCTGGGATTCAATGTCTTGATCGGTCTGTTCTCATAGATGGAGGTGATTGCGACCGGTTCCACGTTCGTCTCCCGTCTTTCTTCGCCGTCTGGCACGCGAGACTTCATTTCCACGTATTGGTCCACACTTCTGGTCACGTGACGCAATTGTTCGCGGCGTTTCTGTAGCTGTTCCAAGTCGATGTGACTGCGAGCACCACTGCGCGCCATAAACAAATACTCGTAATTGCTGGGACCCAAAGAGCAATCAGCCGACAGCGACATCTGGGTCTGCAGGTGCGTCGGTGAGACGGATAGGTTACGTCTGGGTGGTTTTTTCGGCGGTGTCGGCTGGAATGCGATAAATTAACGCTAACTTTTACTTGTAAACGTGTTAACATGATACGTTTGAGAAACTTGGAACTTGATCATGTAAGCTTCTTAGTACTGTTTTTCTTTACGTAATTCTTCTTCTATATTTTCCCGACTTTCACAAAATACAACAGAAAATTATCTTTGCATGAAAATAGTGCCAGTAAATTTATCTACCGATATTTTTAATTCTTTTCGTGCAATCTTTGATGTAATTACATTTAATGGTACTTGGACTTCCGTAGACTAGAAGCTCTGTTTATTTAATTAAAAATGAAGAGTCACAAATTCAAAAGAGAAACATCCGACTTTTGGAAAAAGGTTTCTGTAATCGCCTAAACGAATAATTGGTGAGTTAAATCCAAATTTCATCTGTTTAAAAAAACTGCAGAATTTTGAAAATGAAATAAAAAAAATAAATGAGATAATTACAATTATACTATTTTCTGCTTTTCCTAGTTATTAAGCCCGATTCAAGTGAACGTGTATACTTTGACCGAATCAGAAGCAACACTTAATCAGGAGTATGATACTACATCACCGATGCTAAGTACGCGAAACAAAGAGCACGATATCAATTAAGAATTGAGGTTAACGACGATGAAAATGAAACCTTTTTCCCTATAAAAGAAAAACAGTTCGGTGGGAATGAAGTCCGGCTAATAACACCGTCCAATCGACGGGTATCTTTCGAAGGTAATACTCGATCGGCAGTTTCACGAAGCAGCCTGGTTCGAAGGAAAAATGTAGCCAGCGTCAAGCTGTCGGGCCAATTAACTCGCGATCAATTTGTCCACGTTAACGAACTGTAAGGTGCAGAGATGATTCATTGCTGGGTTATACGGTACGGTTCTTTGCGCTGAAAAAAGAGACAATCTCGGCCAAGTGGGCAAAAAAAATGGAAAGAAGGACGCTTTAGAAAAGACAATTCACCGTACAAATTGAAATCTCGCTAACAACATCGGAATTAACAATTCTCTGGCATTCGAGATTCAGAAAGGGTGAAGACGAAAACGAAAGAGTCACTTATTAAGCTTTCAGAAACTTTTAGTACGGTGAGAGAGATTATTAACACGGTGCTACGATGTAAATATAAAATGTACAGAAATTATGGAATTGACATGAATGTATCAACACGAGTAGGTAAAAATAGGTGGCTAAATCTTGGTATCGTCACATTCTATTTTTCCCAAGAATGAATAAACATTATATCACTATATTTACATATAGACCTGATAAAATAGTCCTTTCCAAGGACAGCTATTATTACACATATGTATATATAGAATCACAAGTAATGATAGTACTTGTAGTCAAGCAAATCATTCTGTTATAATAATAGTCAAGGTAAGTCAGTCTGACTCCTAACATTTATCAATTCATCTATGTACAGTAAACTCATGTTCTTGGACTTCACATATTCTTCCACTTCCCGAGTTAACCCAAATTATAATTTTTCAGCTACCAGCTAACAATGCAGAAAGGAAGTAAAAGAGACAGACTCCTGTTCTTCTGTAATCTTGAAGTGCAACAACCAATCTTCTATTCGAATGTAATTCCAATGCAATTCCAATCTAAACAATGTGTTCATCTAGAAAACAAAAGCTTCTGTATCTGTATATACTTATATCTGTTCCCATCCATAGGACAATCAAGATAATACGATACCAGGATACCACCTATTTTGGTTGCTCTCTACACGTCAAAGACGTCATCAGGCGAATCAATTACAAGGCTGGGAGATTTCACTTCGAACAGGCACACTTCTCGCGACCTCGTATAACCCTTCACCGAGTCGGGGACGAGATCTCGAGGCGAAAAGGGGACCGGAGGTATTCTTACCGAGACTTTACTGTTGGAGGCGGGGCTGTGGAGAGAACTGGACAAGGGTGCCATTGGCAAGTAAATCCCGGCGGCGCTGGAATCGTTGGGCAAACAACGCCGGTCCCGTGGGCTCGGTCCACCGACGCTCGAGGACGAGGAAACGCTCAATTGGTCCGACTCCCTGCCACCCCCGTATCCCGTGGGTAATGTCAAGGACAGATCCTCCGACACGAAGCTACCCTCCATTGTTCCACGAGGTACCGGTGGCGTTTGGTACAATCCGCTGTCGGAACCCCTGCGCAACCAAACTGAACGTCTCAGCGGGACCAATTCAAGATTAACTTGGAATTTCTAATGATTTGCTCGATCGAGCAAATTCTCTTTCTTTTGTTTTTGTTTTCTTCTGGTTTACTTTTCTTATCTACTTTTCCTGTTGGATGATAGTTCACGTGGAAGATAGTTAAGTTAGGTTAACATAGGTGCAGTAGCGCTTTGGACGATTGACACTGTGACTGTATGTGATGATGTAAACACTGTGTGTGATGTATTTGAAAGGTTGTTAGGTATGAATACATTGTTGAATGTTTGAAGATGTAGTTATTTTTGGTCAAGGCTTTGGTGATGCAGGACTCGTACTGCGATTTAGCCATTTATGCAAGAATTTATTTATGCAATTGATCTAACAATTTTACTAAAATATACGTTCACACTAAGTGTAACCTGGTAAGAAGGTTGACTGAAGCAGTTTCAGAAAATAATAGAAATGACTCTATCCCCACTATGGGGGCATTTCTATATACTCTCTTTCCAAGTTTACACTTTACATCTCAAAGTTACGTTGCTCCAAGATCATGTCAAAAATTAATAATGGAGTAATCAAGCTATATATACGAATTATAATACCCATCATGGAACATACAGCTTCCTTATATTCTTGAACAAAATCGCAATCACAGTCCTTCATCTTCTACCAAACTGTTGTCAGATACATCCAACTGTAATTCGTCTCGCAATCTACTCATATGCTATAGACAGGTATACCGTTGTTGTAGAAAAACATAATAATTGTGTCATGAAATCCGACTTATAGGGACCGAGACAATCGAATAGAGAGCGTACTCCAGTGTATGGGAATCGAAAGCGCTACCATAGTGCTGCAGAATGTTTGCATGTCATTACCGTGTGGTGTCGCGCTGTGCTAATGGTATTCTGTCGATGGTAGTGTTTTGTGGTTTGTCGTCGGGTGTTTGATCGGAACTTTCGAGAGTATTTATCGAGTTCAGAGTGTCGGACATGGACATAAAGACGCTGTCGAAGACGGAACTGGGGTCGGAGTCCTCTGTCTGCTGGAGGGTCCTCCGTACTCCGTTCACTGGTCCCCCATTCTGCTCGTCTTCACTGAAATTCGCAATCCATCGGGTATCGTCATCACCAACGGTTCTCGCCTACCGTTAACACACTGAAAAGCGAAGCAGCGCAGCTGGCTTTCCACTGCTGAAGCAAACACAGAGCAGAACAGCGTGCCATTTCGCTAATATTTCGCTTCCATATCTAATTTCGCCAATTATCAACTTCATCAATGCCCTTTGTTTGTCTCTTTTCAAACTTCCCGTTTCATCGTTGTTTTCGCTCTTAAACCTGTGGTCTTTTGATCTGATTAATGAACTACCCGAGCTTCTAACATCAGCACTTTGGCTCCTTATGCGTATCAGAGGCTCCTTTCATATCCTAAACCCTCACAATGTCTATACAAATTTTGCACATACAAATTGTCTCTTGAAATCTCTAAAATTGTGGGATCTTGTTACTTCAAAGTTGTTTTTCTGATACAACGGTGATCTGGATCTCGTTTTCTTTCTCTCATGGCAACCTTTGAGGGAATAATAAGCTACCTGTTTCAACTTTCTCATCCTAGGGCACAGGATTTCAGACAGACAGAAGATATTACTGATTAAATTAGCACAAAATTATTTATAACGACTGACTTGGAAAGTTTGATTTTTGTAATCACCGAAAATACACAGCTGTGTCTGCTAAAATTGATATTAGCATTTATTGAGATAGGCTCGTGATCGTATATACCTATTCATATTCATCATACCACATTAATTATCCTTATTTATGTATACTATATTTAGATATACATTACAATCCAATAGTTCTAGCGTGAATATATCTCATCCAGTACATCTGCGTGTTAGTCACGTTGCGACGAAAGAAGATCATTAGAATACATTACAAAAATTATCTCAATATTCCACATCCCAGTGTCAATACACGAACAAGTACCAAAAAGATCAGAAAAGAGGTAAAAGACCCAGGTGGTTGACTAACCATCTAATTACAAATCAATCGCGTCCACAAATCATCAACCATGCTACACCAAGGAACAGGGAGATCAGCCTCATCCTTTGCTCACGTCCCCGACATCGCGTCATTAAATACACGCCTTCGATACGACCCCGACAATCCCTCCTGTTCACCCGCTCGGTTCTCTTGAAGAAACTGTCCCATTCTAAGGATCACCCACACAACCTTCGCCAGAACGATCTCCAACAATTAAGCGTACTACACGCGGAGAGAGCCGGGGCAGAATGGGCAGAAGTTGTTCATCGGTCAACCCAAAGAATGGCACACCGCTCTAAGTATCATCGTCTCTCCCTCGACAATGCGTAAGTTCAAGCGGAGACGTCCGCGGGCGAGTGGCGACTTTTTAATGAGGCCACGTAGACGAGGTCGGAGGCAAACGGAGAAACAGAAAGAGAAAAGCACGAGGACCACCTCCTCCACCACGGCGGCGGCCACCGGTGGTAGTAGTAGCAGCGGTGGTAGCAGCAGCAGCAGCAGCAGCAGCAGTAGTAGCAGCAGGACGGGGCAGAGGACTGGAAACAAGCGAAGGCAGAGGTGAATGAGGAGCCGGCGAACCGCGGCTGGAGGCCATGCCCATAGGACGAGGGAGAGAGCAATGGTTATTAGTTTTATGCTGAGACGGGCTAACATTTACATTGTTTAACGTGATGGATTCATCTCGAGGCGGCCGAGCCACGGCTACCGACGTCAAACATTGACGGTAGAGGTGCGGAAAGCCCTGGTACCGACTCCTTCCCCTCCACCCGCGCTCCTCTCATCGTCCGTCTTTCGTTCCTCCATTCACCGTCTCCCTTTTTCCCTCTGTCAGTCTCACGGCCGGCCTCCGGTCCTCTTTCTCTGTCTGCTCGGGGGCCAACCAGTCGCGCTTACCAGCTGGTAGTAGCACTAGCTCAAAGATCGAGAGAGAGAGAAGGAGAGTACCAATGGGGTGGTGATACGGCGGGGTGACCCAGGGGTGAACGAGGCGGTCGGACCCACCATCGCCTGCCTACATCAGGAAAATTAAACCAAGCCAAGCGGTGCTTAACGCGCTGGGGCTACACGCGGCCGCGCCACCTCCTCCAACCTCTTCTCCTCCACCTCCTCCACTTCCACAGCTTCCCTTTTCGGTCCGAGAACCTTTCCTCTTCTACCATCCTTCTCCTGACCACCCTCGCAGCCAGCCCACCACCTGACCCCTTCCTGCCCGGTGTGGTGTGGCTGACGGCCTGGCTCCCGGTGTGCAGCCAGAGCATCGGTACTAAAACGGTACCAGCGACGCCGCTAACCATCATCCGAGCACTCGCCACTCGTTCATTCACTCCGTGTGCCCGGTCCACGTCTATGCTTTTGTTTACCCGACATCTCCTATATTAAAGCCGCCACGGTTATGCGCCCACCTATACTATGTATCCGCTCTTTCTAGAAAATATTACCGGCCTCGGCTCTTATCCGATGCATCCACGCGATATTCTTTTCTACCCGACCAAGATGACGCCGGATGAGCACAAATGCGGGGAACAGGTAGAGCTGGCTGAGTGGGATTGTTCTTTTTCTCCTCTCTTCTCCGTTTTTTCCTTTTTTTTTGCCCCTTTTTTCCTCCTTTCTTTTCTTTCACGTGCGTCTGCCTTTTTTCCCCTCTCTGTCTTTTTATTCCCGGTCGGCGAAGTTCGCGCAATCGTTGCACGGAACGCGAAATGCGAATGGCGTGTACCGATGCGTTCCTCGTCCGGGATGGCGATGGCTCGTCGCGATCGAAAGCAGTCGCGCTGCGTTTGCATCGGTGAAAACGGGGCCTGTGTTATTGTCAAACCTCCCGTGTCCCGGAGTACAGTCGCGAGGTAAGTTGCATTTGCGAGTGAACGTCTCTGTTAGGTGATTTCGTCCCGTCAGGTGTGATGTGTATGACCGAAGCTGCCACTTCTCTGACTCGTGGCTTGCTGTTGGTACAGAGAAACCTCTGACAGTGAGTAGCCGAAACTGTGCATGCTAGTGGGCCTAAATTCTTTTCTATATTTCAAATATCAAGAGACATTATTGATCCCGTTACTTGGCAAGTCAAAAATATCTGTTCCTGTTCCAGACGTTAGAAAGTTTCTATTTTCGGTCTAATTGATTTTACGACATCGAGTACCTTTGAAAACAGAGGTTCCACTGTATCTATTCTTCGTAACAGACCTATTATTCCTATTATTCGGCAAAATTTTATAAAATCCAGATTACTATCCCCGAAATGACAACATGGTGAAATTCTCACAAAACTATTCGTTTTCTCTGGATTATTTTGGCTCCCACGAGTATAGTTCAAGTGAGTTGGACTATGATTCAAGTAGCAGTCGCCCGTTGGCAGCGTTCATCGCAGCCATAAGCGCAGAGCTCGATAACGCACGCGGAATCGCTGCGAAAATTCGATGGCACCCATAGGAGGGTGGAAAGAGAAAGAAATGACACCGAAAGCGACGACAGGCACGAGCCAGTATGAAAAGAAGGGAAAAGAAGAGCAGATACTCACAAAGACATAACGGAAGTGCCGGAAACGCGGCGATCGTCGTCTCGAGGCTTATGATAGAACTGCCACTGAGTGGGCGACGTCCCTTCCGCCGGTGAGAGATCATCCCCAGGGCGAACGTTTTCGTAAGGGCTGCCCAATGAATCGTTCCCCTGCACCGGTATGGGTGGCAGATTCTCGCTGTCCGCGTCGCTTTCCACGCCAGAGGAAGACCTGTGCCCTGTTTCACAGAATTTAAAACCCAAATTTTATTCGCCTGTGTAAGAGTGTGCGAGCTCCGGTTACCGATAAGGCGGCGTGAGTGATAGCACGTAGCAGTGATAACCGGAATGTCAAATCGAAGCGGCGATCCGATTGATCTTCGCGATGAATTAACAAAGGAGGCCGACCTTTAACCGTTTGAGTCCCAAGCAGCGTGATCGCGCTGTTCAGATTTCATGTCGAGAAGACCCAGCACATTTCGAGCGTTCTCGACAGCTGACGGTGGGTCACCGACTGTCGAAGTCGAAGCGCTATCGTGCCACCTGGCCATTCATCGCCATAATATAAACGTAGCGCTATCGCGCCGCTTGGGATTTGTTGACATAAAATAGAAGAAGCGCTATCGCGTTGCTTGGGTCTTGTCGTACCCATTCTGGGACCAGTCATTTTGACTGTGTTGGTAGTTCTAGTGTTAACCAAGCCCTCTCTTCTCGTCCCCTTACACTTAGGTCTTTCTGGGCTGAACGCTGTTCAGACTTGGAGTGGTACCATGTTTTTGCATGAGTTACCAAAGTTATTAAAATTGCAGAGTTAGTGAGATGATGACAGAGAAGTGATACCTCGGTGGAACGGTTTTCAAGAGGAACCGAGGATAGTGATATTGAATAGAGATAATCTCACGGTGTGTAATTAGCAAAGCAGTATCCTCAATGCAATATTGTATTCTTACGTGTGAAAGCTGGGTCTATTTCATCATGGGAATCGAGAATTGAGGATAATTATGAGATAGTTGATCAGTGGATAATTGATGAGCATTGTAAATGAAATTCTGTGATCTTGCATTCGGTAATTTCATAGCTTAAATTAGGTTCGCTCTTTGGTGAGCTGGAATGGTGTTAATGTAAAGACTATCAACTTTTGTTCAGATGGGAACAAGTAGTTATTGTGCTAACAATATTTCAGTACTTAATTCTTGACAGATAAAACGAGGCATGTTGACTTGGTACAATTAATATACCTTGTTATAGTAAAATGAAGAACACTAAATTCTGATCATCTATTCCCGGTCAGCTAGACTATCTCTGATCATCTCTACAGACTTCTGAGTCATTACCACCGTCTCTAACTTTCCAATAATTTTCGCAAGCTGATCAAAAAATTTGATGAAATTTGAAACATTAAACGCTTGACTCGAAGCATACAAATTCTAAAGCAGGAAATATTTACAATGAAACAATTAAATTTCTCCATTATTCATAAAATCCTCAGACCAAAGTACACTGTCCCAAGAGTTTCACGTAATGATAGAATAACTTCCTTTGTCAAACTCGTAAGTATTTCTTTGAATGAAACTATTATATCAGAAATCCATTTGTACTAATCCAATATCCCAATTCTCTCTCGTCAATGAAGCAAAACGTTGAAGCCCCTAAACAGTGGCAATTAACGGTAACCGAGCCAATAGTCAGCAACCCATTAACCCATTCAACGTGATCTGATAAAACGACAAAATAGCCGCGTGTCTTCATATTAAATCGACAAATATGTATTTAATGCGCTCCACTTGAACCACTTCGTTCAATTCATTGCAATCCACCCATTCGCATAACACCCTCCAACCTCATTTATCAATTCGGCTATCGATACACAATTAAGGGGGGATCCTGATGTAGACTGAAAAAAGATCGACTATTTTTATCGTTCTAATCGATAGTATAATATTTCTAGAATATATTACCAAATTTTCAATGCAATCCTCAAAATATTAAAATCTCCACAGCATGTTTCAAATTGGAGAGAGATATCTCAAAAACCAGGTTACCAATTTGCTTGAAATTTTGCATACAGATACTATGATACGTGTATAAGTCGATGAACCTAAAAATTAAACGAAATAAGTAACTTAAACAACCTTTTTATACATACATAGACGTAAAATTTTCGTGAAAATATCGATTTTTCTTCAAAATGGCCTCATTTCAACAATTTTTCAATTTATCCAAATTTTCGAAAATTCATCGACCAACTACGTTCCTGAAGAGTGAGAAAATTGTTTTCCTGTTTTGGTCAAATAGGAGAGAAACTACGACTCCCGCCAGTTTCGAATGTCGTTATGGAGGCGCTACACATACGCTCTTATAACTCCAAATTTCGAAGTATTTTAAAATCTAAAAAAAATTCTTTTTGTACTCTTATAGTTACTCGCTAAAATCTCATAATTTTCTTAGAAAAAGTTCCAAAGAAGTCGATTTTTATAGACCGGGTTACAATAATACCCCCCCGCCCTATGTCGTATCGCTCTGACCAATCACCAAACGTAACGCGAATCGCCGCTTCGCAAACAGTCATTGGTCAGCGCGACGAACACAATAGGAAACCACCGCCGGCAAGATATTTAACGTGTCATCGAGTACGATCTTATCGAGTCTGAATCCCGGCAGTGGCCGAAAAAATCGACTCGTCGGGGCGAGGTGTCAGGCTACAGCCTACTTATACGATCGACGTCGACGCGTCGCTTTTTCCTCCTTTTTCCTTTCTCCTCGATACGTCTCGTTAATTGCACAGCTCGTTTGCCAGGCACGTCGAGGCGAGAGAAAAAACGAGCGTCGCGGCGGATACGCACTTTTTATCACCGCGGTGATGTCCTGAGTGACGTGCGGCGGGAACTGTCCCAGAAGATCGAGCACCGTGTTCTGCCGCGAGTCCCGGATGCCCAGGTCGACCCCACGGTCCAGCAGCGCCCGCACCACTTCCATCTTGCCGCACAGCGCCGCCTCGTGCATCGCGGTCCCCGCGGACGTTCTCGTGTTTACGTCCACGCCCGCCGCGAGCAGCACCTCCACCACCGCTCTGAAATAGGCAGACAGCATTTCTATACATCTCTCTTTTTTCTGCTCGGCTTGAATTATAGCAGAGTGTTCCTGTGACCGGCTCGCTGTACTCTTTGGATGAAGCGTGAAATATGTGGCTCATGTTTGCGAGCTTGGTGGACCAAGTCAGTTTCGAATTTATTTGTCACAATGGAAATGTTTCTTTGAGTGTTAGGAAATGAAAATTTTCTAATTGCCTTGCTGCTACGCTTTTTGTCGTAATTAGCGAGGTTATGAACAGTGTAATAAGGATGTAGTAATTTATTAAATGGGGAATTAACGGCCTATAAGCGTGTTTAAATAAAAGACAATCGTGCTCCTATCGTAGATAAAAGTCAGCAGACATTTTGTTAAAAATACCTGTCTATTATATTTCTATTAATTCCAGAGACAAAAATTAATAACATTTGCAGTGAATATTTCCAATTTTTTTAATAACTTTCTCGTCAAATTTGGAGCAAATTATGGCGCGTTTACAAATCTTTGTGACCCATGTAATGATACCTTATCAATAGTTTAGGTTCCTATCACTTTTGAACATCCTTCTTTATCCACTGTCTCAATAACACAATATTTCACTGAAAAATCTTAATGTCCTCCCATATCAAATGTCATCGCAATAATCATAACCTACAAAACATATTCTACAATAAAATCAAATTACTCCGAAATTCCGATAACGTCAATTAACAATAAGTATTAAAATAAACCAAGTACTATCCAACATACCAGATTTCATATTTGCCATTACCCAAATCAATCGAGCCGATTCCGCTTCAACGATTTTCATAGAAATTTCATCGACCCCTTCATCGTCTATCACATCGGAATCAACGTATGTACATACGCACTTCGATAAACATCGTGCCGTAATAACCACGGAACCTTTCACGCTACCTTCGCCGAGAATTAACAAACCAAATTAGGAAACTATCCTCCGATTCCCTTTAACCACGCATATATCATCGGCCGTTTGAATTTCCCGTTCCCCCAAGCGTAACGGTTAGAGGAGTGGGAGATGAAGGTAGTGGGGGGAGGCTGAACGCATCGAGGAGGAACGGTTCTCGCGGGTAGCCGTGGGGCCGCGGATCACCGACGTCAGCTGAAAGTGGCCCGCTTGCACGCATTTCCCATTTCGACGCGATACTACCATCGTGTAGCACGAAACCCTAGATTTCGTTTTGTATATGTCGCCTGGTGTGCACCGACTGCAGTGACCGCAGCCATCCGTCGCATATAGGATTCGTGGCTGGGAATCGGATTCACGTGCACCTATGTTGTTATTACCGTGCCATAGGGGTATTTGTATACTGGCTTACCAAGAGCACCGATATTGAATCCGATAATAGACATTACTCCAGTCCCCCGCCGATACCGGAGATCCCTACCCCTTGTCCCTTGCCAACCGTGATCCCCTTTCTCTTTCCATCGCCAGGCATAGCCCACCCTTTGTTCAACTCTGTCTATCGCCGCCCACGAATCCAACGGATCCGCCAAATATCGCGGCGAGGCGCGTGAAACGCGTGCGTGAACGCAATCATCGCAGTGTGCATCGGTACACAAGCGAATCCCGCTACGTTGCGACGTGGTCGCGCGGCCGGCTGGCTACGTGTGTACACTTCGTCCCCTTGCGCGTACACAACGTCGAAAACGAGCGGACACGATCAAGTTCCGCGCTCCCCACTCCACGTCGCCCCCACCCCGCTCCGACCCGCCGCCCAGTGCCGTAGTTTCGCGCCTGTCCAAACAGTCAAAATGCTCGTACACACGCGGACCGGTATGCTGTTTGACCGTGGAGATTGTCCATCGGAGACCGGCCAGATTTTCCAAGCTAATCAGCGCGACGAGATACGATCGAATCGTGTGAAACTTCATCGACACGGGAGCTATGGGTGAAATGGTAGTTCTTCTAGTACTGGCATGGAGTATGACCGTTCTATTTGTCGTGCTATATACCGTGGTTTGCATAGTACAATTGGGTGTCGGGAGTCACTCCTATTTGTTAGAAATACACCGTGCTGTTTATGATTTTATCATAGAATATAAAGGATACAGTAATCTAACCTAGTTTTCTAAAATTGAATATGTCACAGCATTTACTAATTTTTTCCAAAAATAAATTTACGTTATCTATGGAAGCAATTTTAATTAATATTAGTTATAATGTGTAACAGAATGTATACCTGAATATAGCACATGATTAATAAAACTATAAATAATTAAAAATATGTACTCTACAAAGATTAAAAGGACGTATAAACAACGCTTTCAAAATATCAACACCTATGTCCTACTCGTTCGAAAGCTTCCCCGCCAAACCTCATCCATACAAACAATTTACCAAAATTAAGCAATATTCTTCGTTCACACGTCCCTCGACATTCGGTCCCGGGTCCCATTTGCCACAGTGGAACATGGCCGCGTGGCAAACACGCGATAGTGTACACAGTTCGCGGGCACGCGCGCGCGACTCGCGCAACGGGCGCGCGTGTGTACACGCGTGTTCGCGCGACTATCTACGCACTCGAAGTAAAGCAACCAACGACGTGTCAATGAGATACAATGTCGCGTACGCACGTACACCTATTTAACATTTTAACGATCGTTGTCACGTATACGTGACTTTGCTAGCTGACGGTCATCAACCGTCATCGCGTAGACGTGACTACATTCTCTTAACACCTATTGGCTTGTATTAGATGAAAGATTTTGTTCGCAAATTTGATGTTTCATTTTTCAAGTATTTTAATCGTTTGATTAATAAAAGTGATTATAGTCACCTATCATCGAGCACTCGATCTGTTGAAGCTGATTAGTCACTCAACGTCGAGTGTTCACTCTATATTAAAGATAACTGTAATCCAATTGATGCCACGGTGAGCGTTTACTCTATACTGAATATAACTATAGGCACTAAAGGTTCAACACTCCCACTATACTAAAAATAGCTATGCATTGATGATGAATATTGTATACTGCAAGGTTAATGTCTCTAATGATTCAATCCATATGAGCGTGCGATTGTCCTATTAGGAATATAATCTTGTCAAATCACAGACCACGAAGCAAAACCGTAATGATGTCATATTATTTGTCTAGATTGGAATTTAACATTAACAATGTTAATAAATTTACGAATATTACCGTTTATTTAACTCAACTACTCTAGTTAATTTAGGTACAACGATTACTTCGATGAAACGATCATAACAAATCACGATTTGATTCTTGAATTTGTACAATCGCTATCCCAAATGTATTGAATATATACTGTATAATATTCAAAGTTCTTATTTAAATTGAATTGATAATATTGTTAATAAATATTGAATTACCACTTTATCAACGCGTATTAATACTTTCTTTACACACATTAGAAACTCACACTGTCGTATTCTGTAATAATTATTCAGTCGCACTGAAATCATAACCTCACTTTGTCACTATTCGTTTGTGTATATCAACTTAATTGCATTACTCAAATACGTAAGCTCACACAATCACATTCCATGGTGACTATTCAATTGTCAAAGTCTAATCGAAAACTTGTCTTCCTCTCGAATACAATACACGTTGACCAAAATTCCGCCAATAAATCGAGTCTCACTGGTCATTCGCCGCGCACACCGGCTTCACATCGCGAAGCCTGGATCGACGACAAGGATGGCTAGAGAAGCACAGATTGAGTGGTTTTAACTGAGGATGGTTACCGGCGGGAAAGAGAAGGCAGAGGGCGCATCAGTAGCGACAGAAAATGCATTCATCGGACTGTATATCGCGACGCGATCGCATTATAAGCGACCAGCGCCAGTTAAAGCGATTACCGGCTGCAAGGTTGCATAGAAAAACCGACGTTATACCCGATTACAATGTGACTGCCGTTTCGCGGCGATTCACGATCGGCGAACGAACGATATTCGATCGAGCTCCGTGTGTCCCCGTCCCAGCCGTTCCGTCCTACGCCCGTCCAACAACGTCGATTATTTTAAAGGCTTACCAACCGGATTATGGACGTGACGCCGCGATGTTAAATGAGAATGAATTGGCCGAGCATAGCGTTAAATACTATTCCCTCCCTTTCCATGATTCTGGAATGCTCTGTATACGGATGGTGAAAACCATCTGTATAACGATGGTTTTTGGTTATTTGACTGAATTAAAAATGGAGTGTATATATTTTTAATTTCTGAATGAAAGATATTGTATTGGGTATGTTATAAAGAAGAAGATACAAAATTTGAGAAATTGAAAGTTAAAACGTGATGGATAATTTTTAATCCGTGTTTATTTGTAATCTAATATTATCATTATCGAGAGATGTTTTTACTATTTAACGCTGGTGCCATCTATTGAGTGATAGTGGTAGTTGTTACTACTTTTATTTCATTTTCAATTGCTAAAGTAAAATTCTGTTTCCTATTCACGTGCAATTTCAATTTTTTTTTCTTTTTTTTTTTTTTTTTTAAGCTAATTACCCATCTAGGTAATTTCTCTCGTAAGAGCTTTGCGAATCCGAAATAAAAACAGTATGAATACTGTAATATTATGTATAACATACATAATATAAAATAAAAATGAAAATTTTTATTAAACTATATCCTTTGCATTTTTAGAAATTTTGGAACCGAAAGACTCGATTGCTGTTTAAATTTCTATATTTAAAATAAATGTCTCCCTTTTCTTTTTTAGAGTTAATCGATTTTACCAATGAACAACTTATCTGAAAAGCTACTGGAACAGTAATCACAATCAATACAGTTAACAATTGTTTTACACTGTAACAGTTACAACACCATTTCGATCTTTCATAATTGTTTCAAAAAGAACTTTTATATAACAATTATTAACAGTTATTCCTGGAACCGTTCCAACCCCTTGTATCGAATATTGGAAGCAAAGATTATTCTTCAGTGCTTAATATACACTATTCTACTTTTAGCTAATTTATGGTATATTTGGAATATTTTTTTTTTTTCAGTT